CGCAAAAGAGCGGTGCGAGCGTAAGCTTCCTCCAATCCTTGATTTTATTCCCAAGACGCCCCTTAGGGATAGCTGGGGCATGCTGGAATCTATTGGAATGTATTACTGACTAGTATAGCTGCGATGGATGTCGTCGCGTAAAGGAGAAATGCGAAGGAGGCGTCCCCTGTCGCCGATGTCTCCGGTATCGTCGGCAATGCATCTTCACTCACCCCGATCAGGCCGAGAAGCTCGCTCGCTCATCGTCCGTCTCGTAAGTCGCCTGATACCTCTTTTCCAAGGGTTATGAAACTGTACTGTGAGTTGTGGAGGCTGATAGATAATATGCGATGGGGTTAGGCTTCTGGACCGCACCGTTGCTTTCAATCAACATGAAATGCTCGAGTCGGAACGTGTCCGCTACATGGAACGCATTCTTCAACACTATGTCCCAAACATCTCGTTCGATATACATTCTCTTCGGAAGATGGCGGAGGAGCTGAAACATAAGCATCGTCCCTCTGGAATGGAGGGTGGGCCGCCGTCGATGCAGCTGGATGGCGAGGAGCTCGAGGATCTGGCCATCGATGATGAGGATTTTACCATCAAAGCTTTGCCGGATAATACAACCCGTATGATATTTCGACCTGTTTACGGTTTATTATTGCTGGTGCAGGCTCTCTGACTAGTCTGCAGAATACTCTGGAGAGTTCTCGTATCTGAATTTCTCCATGAAGATTAGACAGAAGATTGACGAGTGGATGAAGACGGCAGCTCCGGAGGTAATCACTGTCTGTCCAACTATCTTATTCTTATTTGCTGATGGTGAAAGGCATCGACCGAAACAGAACCGTTTGAAGAGCGATGGCGAGCGACTCAGCTACAGTCGGGTTCAACTTTGGTATCGACATCAGTCACTTGTCTACCGCCCCGTTTTGTCGCCGACTTCCTTGTCCAAATATTCTTCAAATATGCACAGACCAACAATTTCTACGTCGAAGAAGATTGGCTGCGCGATAAGCTTAATACATGCTATACAGATCCGTCCTGTTTGTCGTCGAAGGATGCTGGCTCGGTTTGCGCCATCCTGATGGTCTTGGCTGTCGGAACACAGTTTGCGCATATGGAATCGTCCATTCCCGTCAATCGTCTTTCTTCCAACTCGGCTTTCGATGATGACCATCACTTTTCCGAGGACGATGTTGGTCTTACTTTTTACCAGTTCGCATCCAAACTATTACCAGATATTATCGCCACGGCAAATGTCCGAAGCGTGCAGGCCTGCCTACTGATCGGAACTTATTTGTTGCCACTCGATACGTCTGGACTATGCTATACCTACTTTGGTCTGGCGCTGAAGATGGCGATCCAGAATGGTATGCACCGGAAGTACACGGGAGAAGGGCTATCGCCGCGTATGATTGAGATTCGGAACCGTGTGTTTTGGACTGCGTACACAATCGAGAAGTAGGTTACATGGTAGCCCCCTTATCTTCATCTGTGCTTACAATTCCTAGGCGTGTCAGCATTCTTCACGGAAGACCGGTATCCTTGTTAGACGCAGACGTCGATGCCCCGTTCCCCACTGACTTTCAGGGCTTGACACCATCGGGACACGTTTCGAACGATACGAACATGGTGACACTCATCAAGTTAACCCTCAAGCTCGGAGAAGTTGCGAATGAAATGTATGTTTTGACTTCAAAGGGTACTTGAATCCTGCTAACACTAGTAGATCCGTCCTTCGCAAGTCCCGAAAGAACCAGCAACAAGATTGCTTGGAGAGGCTCCTGAATCTGCGGAAGAACCTTGTCGACTGGTGGGGAACGCTGCCCGAGGAAACCAACTGCAGGGACCTCAACCCAGCAGGGCCACTTTTCCGCTCCAATGTGCATTTGAAGCTCGACTATTGTCTGACGCGTATCTTCCTGGGGCGGCCGTTCCTCTTCAGCACCAACCGGGCAATCAGCTCAGCCACAATACCCGGTGCTCCGGTCAAGACACCATCAGGTGCCGCTAAGAACCGTTCCACACTGATTACGGATTGTGTCGAAGCCGCTCTCGAGATCATCGACCTATGTAGGCTCCTTCGCGACGAGCGCGGTCTTGCCCGTGCATCATTCACCGAGTTCAGCTCGTGCCGTGCCGCTCTGCTCGTCATTCTAGCCCAGAGCTTGACCAAACGCACCGAACGCCTACGCGAAGCGTTAGACAAAGGTATGGCACTAATCAAGATCATGTCCATGGGTGTCGGCTCTGCCCGCGCTGCAGTAAGCGTCATCGAGACCCTGGAGCGAGCCATTCGTCGTCTCGAAGAATACAGTCAAACCCAACCCCAAGGCAGTACCGGAGTTATCGAATCAGCATACGACCGGTTCAAGAATTGGGAGATGCTATGGAAGACCGGGCCCATCTCCCCGGAAATTGCACCATTCCCAGAGCAGCAGTATCATCATACTAGCAACGGACTCGCCCCCGTTATGACCCCTATGACGGGTGGTGCATCCACCGCGAACGAGCCCGTGGAAGCCGATGTCGGCAGCGCAAGTCTTCCCGACTCATCGGAGTTTTCTGTTTCACATCCCCTATCGCAGATGCCGCATTTTGCCATCGATCACTTTGTCTCTAATCTGCCTCAGGAGCTGGGAGAGTTTACCGCCATCCCTTGCTTTGAGCCTGATGGCCAGCCGAGTCTTTCTGGGGAGATGAAGACGGCAGATACGCGGTGGATGAATTTCATGAATGAGTAATTCACGTGCTTGTTTCTTGACTAAAGCAGGTGGTTTTCGTTGTGGTTTCAGCGTTTCAATATGGATTCTTACGGCTGTTGTGTTGTGTTGCATTGTTTATATGTTTATCCGTCTGTAAGCACCGGATTTATGTTTCAAGATACCTAGACAGTATGTGTATATTGTTTCACAGTTCTCAGTGGAAATACTAGCAGGACAATAAATATTTCAAATAATTTTTCGGCCATGATGATATAATATCTACAAATGCTACATACAAAAACAGGATATCTCCTACTACAACTAATCAAACGTAACCTTCTTACCCTGGAAAGCAGCAGTAGCCTTCTGCTCCTTCGCCTTCCTCGCCGCCTCCCACGACGGATGCAACGGCTTATTATCCTCGGGCTTCTTCGCTGGCGGTCCTCCACGCTGCGGCCGTCCAAACTGCTGGTTCTGCTGCTGCGGTCTCCCCCAACCCTGGTGCTGCCCACCGCCGCGTCCCCATCGCTCACCCCCATCAGTCGCACCCCGCCTCACATCCCACCCACTATCGCGTCCTCCTCCCTTCCGCTTATTCTTCTCCTGCTTAACATGATTCGCCCCAGATCCGTACTTCTTCTCCCACAGCGCCCGACGCGCCTGCTGGCCCATGCGGTTCTTGCGTCGCGGGGGCTCGTTCGCTGCCGCGCCGTCTTCAGCCTCATCTTCGGATCCGGACCAGTATCCGCCCATTGTGAGTGAGGGGAGGAAGGTCGTGCTGGTCGCGGGCGTCGAGGAGGCTTTGCTGGTTGCTTTGGGCTTTTTGGTGGGTGGGGAGGATGGGGATGGGGAGCGGGAAATGGACATGTTGGAAGGGATTTCTTGGTCGTCGTCGTCTGATTCTTCTCCTTCTTCTTCCTCCTCCTCCTCCTCCTCTTCTTCTTCTACGTCGCTGATTTCATTGGGATCGAGATCTTCGTCGCCTTCAGATCCGTCTTCGTTCTCGTCGCCTGAATCAGGCGCCAGTCGCGCGTCGAATTGTGCGTAGTCGATGCTCTCTGCGTCGGAGCCGGCAACGTCGGACATGTTGATGTCTTCATCGCCGCTTGGGGAGGGGTCAGCGGATGCGCTTGTCCGAGCTGTCTCGGCTTCGGCCTTCTTCTTGTTGCTACTGCTGCTCTTCTCCTCCTTGGAGGATTTCTTTGCATCCTTCTTCTTCACATCCGCAGGTTTATCCTCAATGCCCAGTAGCTTCCGTATCCCCTCCATAATCCCCGGAAAGACATTCTTCACCGGCGTGGACTTGTACAACCGTGCCGTGACGTTCGCTTCAGCTGTACTTTTCGGCCCCTCCGCGGATATCTTCTTCTTGTCTTTGAATTGGATGAAGAGCGGCGACTCGGCGATGCGTTTCGTCTTGAGGAGTTGCTTGAAGAGGTATTTTTCGGCGGTGGCGTGGGGGTCCAGTGTCTATTATCAATTTTAATTCGGATGTTCAGTAAAGTAAAGACCTTGAAAAGGGATAGAGGGGCTGTACCTTAATAACCTGAATCTCCTCCGCAATCCGACTCAACGTCCCCTCCTTCTTCTCTCCCTCTTCCTTCTGCGCCGTCTTCTCCCTCCGTCCGAGCTTCTGCCGCTCGAACCCCCGCGCTACCTTGAGCGCCTTAGATAGCGTCATCACGCCATATTCGAATTTCTGGAATAGTCGGGTTACTTGCAAAGACTGGCTCCGGTCGTGTGGTGTGTATGGTGATTCGGAGAAGTCTGCGAAGTTGCGCTTCCCCATTTTGCTCGGTAGCTTTCAAGTCTTGAGGGTTGTGAGGATGGTGTATGTATCGTTGGATTGTGTAGTTGGTTTATATCGGTAATGAGGGCAAGGTGCGGGGATATATCCTGGTTTATGGTTTTCAATGTTGATTTCAAGATTAAGATAGATTAGAGTAGTTTTTCTTCCTGGTCAGGGAACTTTTTCTGCCGGTCGGAGGAAAGGGCGGTGCCAAGCGATGGATGGGATTGCTCGCCGCCTTTTGGTTCAGTTTTGGGAGGTGGACGGGGCGTTTTGCCGTTTTGGGTGTCTTATTTTTGGGGGATGGTTATTGGTCCGTTGAACGGTGGATGATTTCACGGGGGGTTGTTGTTTTTTATCTTTTGATATGGGGTGTAATTGGGTCAATTGGGTGTGGATGTAGAACTCTACAAATTTTTGATGAGAAAGTTTTCGAATTGTGTGCAATGTAAGGATATAATTTCATAATCTACGATATCATAGCGCGAGTCAACCTACTTTGAGAAATGGCGACCCACGTTAGAAGTTTGCGCGAAACCAACGTCAAATTCAACACACGGTATGTACATACAGAACCAGTAAGGAAAGATAATACGATTACATCTCCTCTATTTCTTTTCCTCCTCCTTCGGCTCCGGCTTGGGGGTGGGAAGCTTGAACTATATCATCAGTTAGCATCATCCTCGTAACCGCACAAGTTGATATCAACATACCGACTCAGGAGTTCTGTCAGTACCCGCACTGACAGGCTCCCAGGCAGCAGTACCACCCTCGAAGTTCCGAAACGCCTGCGTAAGCTCCAGAGGCTCAATGACAATGCGCTTCTTCTCCTCACAGTAACGCAGCTCCGTGTATCCAGTCAAGGGGAAGTCCTTGCGCAGCGGGTGACCGTCGAAACCGTAGTCGGTCATGATACGGCGCAGATCGGGGTGGCCAGTGAAGAAGACACCGAACATGTCGTACACCTCACGCTCGTACCACAGAGCACCCTCGAACAGACCGGTAACACTGGGCACGGGGCTGGCCTCGTCGGCGTAGGTCTTGACACGGATACGCGAGTTGTAGCGCACACTGAGCATGTTGTAGACGACCTCGAAGCGCTGGTCGCGGGTGGGGAAGTCGACACCGGTGATGTCCGAGATCTGGGTGTATTCGGCCGCGGTGTGGTATTTCAGGAAGGTCATGGTGGGGATCAAGCCGGAGGGAGGGACGTAGATGCAGAGCTCATCCTTCCAGACGGAGAACTGCTGGACGTGCTTGGGCAGGCACGACATGATGTACTGGCCGTACTTGTGCAGGCTGTCCGCCTTGTCCTGGTACTTGTCGGCCGGGTTGATGACGGGGGCGCGGAGAGGACCAGAGGCTATAGGTTTGTGTTAGTGGTGCACATCCTGCGGTATCAGTGGTCGAATCCGGGTGCCATTGGACATACGGGGACGCTGGGCCTGGCGCATGTTGGGAACATCCTCTGAGATAGGCGCGGTCGAGGCCTGAGTGGCCTTCAGAGCGGTCGTAGTGAAGGTACGGGTCGACCGGACGGCGGTGGCCAGGGAGCGGCCAGATCCCAGCCGCATCAAGGAGCGAGCAGAGGCCATGATGACGGACAATTGCGGGTGTGAGACGACGGGGAAGGTGGAGGGAGGGGAGAGCAGCGGAGGTTCCTCATCCAAGGAGCTTTTGCCGGTCCAGGCGAAGTTGTCGCGGTCACGTGAGAGCAGCAAGTTTGGCTGGCGGAGATGACATAAGCGGCGCGGACAGCAACACATGTATGCCCCAGGCTGCAAGGGCAGTCAAACAGTGCAAACCCGCGCAAACCCCATCAATCAAAGCTTCACTTCTCTTTCTCGCTCTTCGCCTCCAACTCTCCCTCTTCCTTTGCGTCTGTGTCCCTCCGTGCTCCTTCTTCTCGTCCTCCTCACCTTTACCCCACGTTTCGTCGATCTACCATCTTCTACCTCCCTCGGACTCTTCTTTACGTCCCTTTTCCTATCTTCCTCTCCTGTCTCGTTTGACGTTCTTTTTTTTCTACCCGCTTTTCCTCGCCCTCTACCTGCTCCCCCCCTTCCGCCCGGGTTTGGTTGATGGGTGTTAGTCTTGGACTGTGATCGCCGTCTTGTCCAGTCGTCGTACCGTTGCACAGCTTCGTCACTCACAATGTCAAATCGCCAACAGATTGACTCCGTCATCGATGATGACGACGAGTTCTGGTGCGTTCGCTTCCCACTTTTCCTACCCGTCGGGTTGTCCTATGACTGGTCCGTTGGGCTGACATCTTCGTCTTCTTTAGCCCCCTTTGCATCGAAGAATTCGATCTTTCGGATAAGAACTTCAAGCCTTGCCCCTGTGGGTATCAGGTACGCATCCTTCTCGCCTTGTACTCTCGCGAATCAACGGCCCGATCAGGAGATCGCTCGCGTCGTATGCGATCCGGACCGTCGCTAACAGACCCCTCCAGATTTGTCAATTCTGCTACAACAACATCAAAACCCACAGCGAAGAAGGCCGGTGCCCCAACTGCCGACGGGTCTACGATGAGAGCACCATACAATACAAGGTTCCCGATGCCGACGAGTATGTGGTCACTCCTCGCTCTTGTTCCCACTGTCCCTTCCCGCGTCTTGGCGCTAACATCGCAACCCGCAATTTTAGATTCAAAGCCGACCTGGCCTTGAAACACCGCAAGGCTGCCGCCGCGAAGAAGAAGGAGGCCGAGAAACGTGAGATCGAGGCTTCCAGTCGCAAGAATCTTGCCGGTGTCCGCGTCGTGCAGAAGAACCTGGTTTACGTGATCGGTCTCAACCCCACAATACGTGACGAGAATCAACTCCTCCTGACTTTGCGCGGTCGAGACTACTTCGGTCAATACGGTGACATCGAAAAGATCGTCGTGAGCAAGGCAAAGCCTGGTGGCAACCCGAACCAGGGCATTGGTGTCTACGTCACTTACGCAAGGAAGGCCGACGCAGCCACTTGCATAGCAGCTGTGGATGGGTCAGCCAACGGTGACCGGGTGCTACGGTAGGTCGAATCGTCTACCTTCTGATGTTCTGTTCACAAAGCCACGTACTGACCGTTCTAGTGCCCAATATGGTACGACTAAGTATTGTTCTTCCTTCCTGCGTAACGAGCAATGTCATAATCGAAACTGCACCTTCCTGCATGAGACTGGTGAGGACAGCGACAGTTACAGCCGGCAGGATCTCTCTTCGATGAACACCTTGTCGAGTCAGCGTATCAACGGTGTCCCCAGCGGTCCCACCCACTCGATTCCTCCGCACGTTGCCCGGTCTTCTGCTCAACCGATTTCGCAACCAATGCGCCGTCAGCCTAGTAGGGATGACGCTGCTGGTAGCCGGCCACCTGATGGGTCTGCCCTGCCATCGTCGGCAAGTTGGGCGAACAAGGACGCCGTGCTCAGCAGGACGAGACGAGCAAGTTTGACCGGCAGCCAGGCCTCGCAAAGTCCCCGACCCGCCATCGCCACGGTGTCGCCCGCGGTGGAGGAGGCGAAACGCATGGAGAAGCAGTCTACGAATGCGCAAGAGCGTGCTCAGGCACAGGCTCAGGTACAGGCCCAAGCCCAAGCCCAAGCCCAAGCCCAAGCCCAAGCCCAGGCCCAGGCCCAGGCCCAGGCCCAAGCTCAAGCTCAAGCTCAGGCACAGGCGCAGGTGCAAGCACAACCGTCCCCCTCTCCTGAAGCACGATCCTCGCCGTCCAGTTCCCCGCCGACTGTTCAGACGCCACCCAAGCCGGAGACGCCTCTGTTGGATAACTTGGTCAAGGCTGTCAACTCTCCAGACTTCAAGTTCATTTTCTCGGCGGCTGGTCTGCCTGCGGAGGAGGTTGCCCTTATTGAGAACCACCCTTCATTCATCGATCCTTATGGTGGTGTGAAACGCCGAGCTATGCGTGAGAAGGCGGAGCAGGAGCGTGTCCGGCGGGAGCAGGAGCTACTGCAGTCAGCTGCTGCGGAAGAAGAGAGCCGTGAGAGCGGAAGCCTGCAGCTCGGTGGCGAGCCGGATGACGCAGTGCCTCCGAGAGGCCGTAGTGGTCGCGAATCTCATGGTGCTATTCAACCTCCCTCCCAGCAGGGCACGACGACAAACTCCGCGGTTGGCTCCCCCGTCTCGGCAACCAGTCACCAGTTCCAGCAACTTAACCTGGCAGGCCGTAGCTTGACGCCTCTGCAGCAACAGCAGTTGCTTCTCTTGAAGTCTGCCGGCAACCAACAGGCTGGCCTGGTTGATCAGCTGCAGGGTGGACTCAACTCCGCTGCTCTTGACCAAGCAGCTCAGGTCCGTCAGGGTCTACTCCAGAGCCAGATGGCACAGTTCAATGCTCTGCAGGCTCAAAGTCGTCAGAACTCTCGTTTCACCTTCGCCAATGAGGCCAATGCCAAGAACATTCCTAATGTGCGCATGTTGAGCCAAATGCAGGCTGGTACTCCTAACCCGCTCGCAGCCCCTAGTCCTCAACATGGTCTTGCTGGCAACTACTTCACTAGTGGCGTGCAGGGTCCACCCCCCGGGTTGAAGACGGCGGGTACTCCGCCTATCAGCGGCGGCGGCATGTTTGCACAGGGTCACGGTTTCACAACGAATGCCAATGTCGGTTTGGGATCCAGCCTCGGAAAGCAAGAAGCCAATCCAGAGTTGATGCGTGAGCTGCTGAGAGGCCGCAGTAGCGCAAATGCCGGTGGTTTGCAGGGTCAAGAGGCCGCTAAGCGTGAGTTCATGTTTCCTTTCCTCCAACAGCACCAAACTCCCCCTCCCCTGACTCCCGGCAATGGCCTTCTCAGCTCTTTCTATGGTGCTCAGGCGGGAAATTATTCCGAGTCTGGTCCACAGAAGCAGAAGAAGAAGGGGAAGAAGCACAGACACGCTAACACTTCCTCCGGTGGAGGCGGTGTAGTAGATCTTGCGGACCCGAGCATCCTACAGGCGAGGATGCACCAGGTTGGTGCGAATGCTGCCGCCGCCGCTGCTGCTGGGCAGGCGTTGTACGGGAGTCAGGGTCAAGGTGGGTACAATCAGGCCATGATGTATGGCAGCGGCTTCAACCGCTGGTGATTGTTTGCCCCCCTTTCTCATAATTCATTAATAACCCTCCCTCGCCCTTCACTTCAATCCCTGTTGTTTATGATGACTACCCTTTTTGCATTTTGTTTCTTTTTGCCCATGCTTCTTTTTCTGTCTCCCTTTTTATTTGATGACATGATATCATATTTCTCTAGATGGGCGTGGGATATGATTCTTATGTTTCAGTTTTCCGGACTCATTGATTCGATGTTGAAAACTTTGCGACATATTTCCACTCTGCAACGAAAGCATTAAGCAAACGGCTCTTGAAAACAACAAGAATTCGGGCTAGGCGTGCCTTTGGCGTTATCTTCATGATTGTTCTTTTTTTGATTTCATGTTTCTTTGTTGTGCCACGTCATGTTTCTTTTCTGCGTGTTGTCTCCGGCTTCCGTGTGGATGGGAGGCGTCCTTGCACTTTATGGGCACATCGTGTCTTCTAGGTCCACTGCGCTTTGGTGGCTGTCGTATACTTTGTTCTTTTGCATCCAAGCTGGGTTGATCTATCAGCATCTTGGTGGCCCATTCGGTCTGGTCATGGCTTTATGTACGTTAACCTCCCTGCCCTGGCTTTCGATAAACACGAGCAGGGCCCTCTATGCGAAACCAATTTCTCACAATTATTGTTCTATAGACAATATGCCTTGTGTGTCCGTCTGGTTGCATCGGCCGGGACATTTGTGTAATTAATATGCCTGCCCTTCCGTACCTTTGTCGTCTCGTTTTGTTTTCTAGGAGTCTACTGGCACGCCCTTTTTCTATCCGTTTCTGCTTGTGTCGTTGGGAGGGGTTCCTTTGCGTTATTCTTGTCATCCGCCTCACTCACACATCGTCTTGCAGACGTCAAGAAGCTAACAGCGCTTCTAGTGGACGAAGAATTTCCTCCTCTTGGAGCTCAGCCAAAGGACAAGCGTCCGGTTGACAGCTTTGGCTATCTCGTGCGCTCGCATTTCTCCAGTGACTCGCAAAGCTCGGCCCGTGCTGGAACCCCTACCCTGCCTCCGGGACTTCCTCTACCACACGCTCATCCCGCATCTGCCTTGTTTCAAAGTCCGCTCAATCCATCCAGTCCGATCTCGTCGCCATCTGTGCCTCCAGGTCTTAATCCGCCTTTCCATAGGCTAGGCACGCCGGGCCAAGGACTACAGGAAGGCTCTCGCCAGGCCTCTCCGGACTTGAAGGACACTCCTGACAATGCCCCTACCTCAAGTCGCGTCAAGAATGCGTCCGAAATATCACTCGGTTCTCCTGTGCCAAAGTCAGCCAACAAGGCTCGCGCCCAGCAGAAAGGAGATTTGACGGTCGCTGCTGATAGGAAAGCTGGCCCTTCGAAGGCTGGAGACAACAATGAGACAACCTCGGCGCCTACGGGCAAAGTCAAGCCCATAAAGCTGGAGCTTCCCTTGGGTACTTCTCAGTCTCATGATGCTCCAAAGCCCGATACACCAAGCCAATCCCATGCTCATGGCCCGGTGCCCACTTCGACGATTGGTTCCCGTCCGAATACACCTTTGACTGGGGTCTCCCGTGTTTCCGACTCGTCCGCTCCCCGCCAACCTCGAGTTCTCCGTGTGGTTGA